CCTGTCTGTGGCCAATTGCCTACACAGGACATAAGGCTGGAAGAAGTCAAGACATAACATGTGGAGTGTGCAGAAACTTGATTTTCTTAGACAGCCTTGGGTTCAAATCAGAGTCCTATCATTTCCTTGTTGTGTGACCTTCAAAGTCATTTCATCTCTCTGAACCTTAGCTTCTGTATCTATAAACTGGAGATTTAAAATAGTTCTTATGCTAATAGGAAGATCACATGAGGTACAACGTGTAAAATGCTTATCTGTCTAATAAATGGCACTGTTAGATCTATTAATTGTGGCATGTGGCCACTTGGTCATATGATCTTCACAGCACTAATCATTTCCCTATTCAAAAGCCTTTTATGACTCTTTTCTGCCCATGTATTAGGTTCAAATTTTTATTCTGCACTCAAGGCTCTCAAGAGTCTAGATGTTAATGACTTTACAGTCTTATCTCCATCATCTGATTCCTTTCCACTCCAGATTACTCCAAATTAGTCTTGCCTTTGTCCTCACTCTCCTTAAATTTATTCTTTCATTCGTTGAGTGTCTATTGTGTGTCTTGGAGCCCTAGTGGCACAGTGGTTAAGTGTTCAGCTGCTAACCAAAAGGTTCGCAGTTCAACTCTACCAGCTGCTTCTTGGAAATCCTATGGGGCAGTTCTACTCTGTCCTGTAGGGTTGCTATGAGTCACAGTTGACTCGATGGTAATGGGTTTTTTTTTTTTTTTTTTATTGTGTGTCTGTTAAGGAGCCCTGGTGGCGCAGTGGTTAAAGTACTCAGCTGCTAACTGAAAGATAAGCAGTTCAAACCCACCTGGAGTTACAAGTTGCAATTTTAAATAATGTGGTCAGGGTAAGTAAGAAGATGATATTTGAGTAAAGATCTGAAGGAGGTGGGGGTTTTGAGGTACATGGATATCTGGGGTAAGAGCATTCTAAATAGAAGAAACAGCAAGTTAAAAGGCCCTGAGGCAGGAGAGTGGCTGGAATTTTCAGAAAACATCAAAGTGGCCAATATGACTGGAACAGAGTGACTAATGGAGCCAGTAGTTCAAGGTCAGAGAGCTCACAGGAGGCCAGATCAACTATGGAGGGCTTTAAAGGAGATTGTGAGGATTTTATTGCTTTTGCTCCAAGGGAAATGAGAAGACATTGAAGGATTTTTAGCAGAAGTGGGTCATAATCTGATTTACGTTTTAAAAAATCACTTTCAGGATGAAAGAAGTAAATCAAGTAATTAAGGATGAATTAATAAATTAAGGTAGGCAAGTACAGTGAAATTAATTCCTTTCTGTGGCCTTTTGCTTTGGTTCTTTGGAAAAACAGCATGAGAGATTTTTCCTCTTTGCCCTAGTTTTCTACCCCAGAGGGTTTGTTACTTTTGTCCAGGTTGACTGACATTTTCTGGGTAAGCTGTAAACAATTTGATGGTTTGATAGTTTTTGTCTGGCCCTGGACTGCAGCCTGCCCTGTAATTGGTCCATTTTACGCACCTTGCAGGGATTGGTCAATGTACTATAGACTATGCAAATGAAGTGACTGCGGGCCACCAAGCGGATTGGTCAATTTGTGACCCTGATGGTAGGGCCATACCTTGAAATTGACAAGGAGTTTGCTTATCTATGCAGTCAACCCCACAGAGGTTTCAGAAAGAATAAAGAAAGGAGACAAGGCAAGAGATGCAAGAAGAGAGAAGCAGAGAGAGAAAGTGAGGAACCTCCTAAAAAGAGCCATATCATAGGTCAAGGGCTGTAATACTTAATGTAGTGAAAGGCCCGGAAGGGGCCCTATGGCAGAGCTGGAGATGACAGGTCCAGAAGGGGCCCTGAAGCAGAGTCAGTGGTGACTGCAGAAACCTGCTGTTAGGACTGCAGCTATGAGAGCTAAACAAAGCTGCTACACTGGCTACGAGCTGGGAGCTGGATTAGTTAACAGTGGAGGGGCCAATGGCAAGGAGGCCAAAGGCAGACAGGCCTACATGGCTGAGAGGGGGTGTGCATAGCCAAGAGGCCTGTGCTTGGGGACATCTAAGTCAACCGGCGTAACATAGTTCATAAAGAAAATGTTCTACATCCGACTTTGGTGAGTAGCATCTGGGGTCTTAAAAGCTTGTGAGCGGCCATCTAAGATGCATCTATTGGTCCCATCCCATCCAGAGCAAAGGAGAATGAAGAAAACCAAGGACACATGGAAAATATTAGCCCAAACGACTAAGAACCACATGAACCAGAGACTCCACCAGCCTGAGACCAGAACTAGATGGTGCCTGGCTACCACCAATGACCGCTCTGACAGCGATCACAACAGAGAGTACCGGACAGAGTGGGGAGAAAAAATATATAGAACAGAATTCAAATTCATGAAAAAAGACCAGACTTACTGGTATGATAGAGACTGGAGGAACCCCTGAAACTATGGCCCCCAGACACTATGCTAACCCAGAACTGAAACTATTCCCAAAACCTACTTTTCAGATAAGGATTAGACAGGCCTATAAAACAAAAGATAACATGTGAGGAACATGCTTCTTAGTTCAATCAAATGAATGAGACCAAATGGGCAACTCCTGTCCAAAAGCAAGATGAGAAGGCAGGAAGGGACAGCAAATGGACGAATGGGCACGGGGAACCCACGGTGGAAAGGGGGAATGTGCTATCACCTTGTGGGGATTGCAGCCAATGTCACAAAACAGTATGTGTATAAATTTTTGAATTAGAAATTAACTTTAGCTGTAAACTTTCACCTAAAGCACAATAATAAACAAATGAATAAATAAAAGAGGTCTGTCCTGAGGGAGGCCAAGAGGGGGCCTGTCCTGAGGGAGTTGAAAGGAGGCCTACATGCCTAAAAGGGGGCATGCAGGGCCAAGACGCCGGTCCTGAGGGGGCTGGAAGTTTGCGTGGCCAAGAGGGGGCAGGCATGGCAGAGAGAAGGGCCTGCTTACTTGCATGGGGAAGAGGAGCTGAGAGAGCTGTCCTGCACTGAAGAAGGGAGGGGTGTACTCTCCACTTCAGGGGAGCTTTACAGACTGCCTACATGCTTCCTGATCCTGATCCCAAGTTGTAGCTTGTTACTTCCTTAATAAACCACTTAACGGTAAGTATAGTCTGTGAGTTCTGTGTGGCCATTGCAATGAATTATCAAACCCAGAAGCAGAGAGTGCTGTGGGAGCGATGGCTAGTGTCAGAATTGGTGAGAGGGTTGGAGAGTAGAGGTATGTCTGACTTCTACCTCATAGGTATCAGCTTTGGGCTAATCCTGGTCTGATCCCTAAGGAATGTAGACAAGTTTTGACACTGCTGCTACTGCAATACAGCAAGAGCGGACGCAAGTATACCAATTAAGAGGCTCTTGCAATTACCCAGGTGAGAGATGATGGTGGCTCAGACCCACATAGTAGCAGTGAAGGTGCTAAGTGATGGGATTCTGGTTTTATTTTAAAGATAGAGCCAACTGGATTTGCTGAGGAATCAGCTTTGGAGCATGAAAGGAAGTGAGGAGTCAAGGGTGACTCCTGGGTTTTTGGCCTGAGCAACTGGGAAGAGTGAGGTTGAAATTTACAGAAGGGAAAAGTTTGTAGGAAGTTGAGGTAGATAACATCAGGTGTTTGTTTGGGGACATGTTAAGTTTAATATGCCTATTATAGATCCAAATAAAGATAATGAATTTGGTATTCAGAAATGTGTGAGTTAGAGAGAAAAATCTGGGAGATGCCAGCACATAGATGGCATTTAAAAACCATGGGGCTTGAGATCATCTGGGGAGTGATTAGAAACAGAGAAAAGACGAGGGCCAAGGACTGAGCACTAAGACAATCCAGCCTTAGGAGGTCTATGAGAAAACAGCAAAGAACCCCTAGAAGAGCTGCCAGTAAGGTGGAAGGAAAGCCAGGACGGCATAGTGTCCTGGAGGTAAAGTGAAGACAGTGTTTCAAGGAGGAGGAAGTGACCAACTGTGTCAAGTAAGATGGTGATGGTTCAAGTAAGAGGAGGACTGAAAACTGGCCATTGCTCTTGGCAATGCAGAAACCTGATAAAAGTGAGTTTTAAGAGCAAATGAGAGGAGAGAGGAGTTGGAAACAGTAGTACTGTGTAAGTAACTCCAAATTTGCTGTAAAGGGGAATAGGGAAATGTTATAGGGTCGAGAGAGTTGTTTTTGTTTTTAAGGTGGGAGAAATAACAGCATATATGATGACAGGAAAAATCCCGCAAAGAGGGAAAAACAGAGAAGCAGGAGAGAGTGAATTACTAGAGCTTCGACCTTAAATGGACGAGAGAATGGGATCTAGTGTCCAGTGCAGGGGTTGACCTTAGCTAAGTGTATCCTTGTAGGAGGCAAAGTATGTGAGCAGATACAATTGGATTAGTAGACGAGGAGGTGGGAGCGTGTCCTCCTCCTCCAGAAAATTCTCCTCATCTCTCAATCTGCCTGTTAAACTCAATCCAATTTAATCTCTCTCCTCCAGGCGGTCTCCGGATCTCTGGTCACCTCTGAATTTTTCACCACACACCTCCAAACCCTGGCCCGGAGCCCCGCAGTCTACGCTTGTTGAATTAGGCCGAAGAGACCACCCGCAGCTCCTAAGGCTGCTGGTTTCACAAAGGGGGGCGGTCCTAGCCTGGCGCTTTGGGATCCGGACGTTCTAGCTCCAGTAGCTCTCCCCCGCTTCCTCTTCTCTGCTCCTATTTCTCCACCATCCAGTCAACTGGCCGATCTTGTCCCACAGCGGCCACCGTATCGGACATCAGCCCATCCACAACTGATAGGGGTTCGAGGTTGGTGGGGGTTGGGCCAATGCTCGGGGTGGGGCCTAAGGCTGGGGCTGAATGAGGATTGGTCGGAACGTTCAGGAAGCAGTTTAAGGGCGAACTCCGGACGGAGACTGGACCGCACTCCGGAGGCGGGGCCTAATGATGGAGCGGGGCGGATACCGGGCTGAGGGCGGTGCCCCTGCGGGGATTGGGCCGAGAGTTCCGGGGCGGTACTTGGGGGGGCGGGGTCGTGTCGGAAGTCAAAGGTCGGTAAATAGTGGTGATGTCATGCGGGCAAGATGGCGGAAGGGTGAGCCCGTTGTCCTGTTCCCGGCGTTGGGGCCTGAACTCTCACAGGGTTGGGGTGCTGGGCCAGGGTCCCCGTGGGAAACGGGAAGATAGCCGGGCGTGGACAGAGCTGAAAGGGTAGGGTGGAGTCTCAATGTGAGGGAGCAGGGAAGCGGTCTGCGAAGCTTCGGCCCGCGGGCCACATCTCGGGGAAACTGAGGCTCGATCGTTGGCGAGCAGGGTTCGCACCGCAGGGCCGCCAGATGTGTATATCTTCCACAGGGAGGACGTGGGCTGGTGGCGGAGCTGGCTGCAGCAGAGCTACCAAGCAGTCAAAGAGAAGGTAAGCCGGGCTGGCGCCCTTTTTCCTCCGGCAGGGCCCCGCGCTGCCTTACTGCAACCTGCTCACCGTCACCGGCCCGACATGTGTGAGCGCCGGGCCTTAAGGATGAGGCAGATCTGAGCCCTACTTTTAGCCCTTGCCGGTGTAAGGCAGCACAGACCCCGACGCAGATCAGTGTGATACTAGGATTGTTTTAAAGGCAAGAGCGAGCCTTTCGTAGGAATCCATAGCAAGGAACAATTTATTCTAAGTCGGGAAATTCAGAACTTCATCGTGGAAGAAAGAGCATTTGAGCTACGCCTTAAAAAAAAAAAAGGATTAATGGAAAAACCTAATTCCTTTAGTCATTCAAATATAGAGTATATACCAAAGACAGCACTCGTGACAGGTCCTAAGGGTACAGATGTTAACCAAACAAATGCAGTTCTGCGCTTTACAGATGTTAACCAAACAAATGCAGTTCTGGGCCTTACAAAGCTCAGTCTAGTGGAGGGACAAGCCATTAACCAAATAGCCAAACAAACAGCTGTTTAATTACAGTTGTGGTAAGTGCTGTGAAAGGAAAGTACAGGAGCATCTTGAATAGTCTGGATAGTCAAGAACACACCAGGGAAGGCCTCCATGGGGAAGGAACCTACTTGAGGCCAACTCTGCCTAGACAGGATGAGTAGCGAGAACCCAGGCTGAAGGTGAGCATGAACCACAGACACTAGTGCCTGATGAGTTCTGTCACACTGAGGGATTTGCACAGGAGGTTAGGGAGAGAGAAGATTGATGGCCAGAGAGTAGAGGTCCTTGAATGGCTAACGAAGCAATCCCTGTGGCATGAGTGAGGCTTGGTTCTGCCAGTGGAGACTGCCAATGTATGTTCCTGTTTCATTCCATGTTGGTTTGTCACAAACAGCCCCACTGAATTGCAGGAAAAGTTAATTACTATTTACCTCAAGTAACTGAGGCGATTACTGCTTCAAGGTAGACTCCAGGAGGCTTATGGCCTCAGTTAATTTAGCCCTCTACCCTGGGAGTATTTTTATTCCTCCCCCAGCCTGGGTACTCCTGGACCAGCCTCTCTCCTACAGCCCAGCAAATCAGAGACCCTCAGCTGCTTTCTGTTGTTGATGAGGACTGAGAGAGAGGATTACTAGAAGAGATTAAATAGAAGAAGCCCCAAAGGAGCTTGCTTCCTGTTGAGCCATCTCTTGGAAGGAGAGTAACATTCAGCAAATGTTGAGTGAATGCTGCTATGTGGTGTCCTCAAAGTTGGTCCTACCATAACTCGTTAAGAATGAAGAGTTGGTCAACGTTTCATCCTTGTCCTTGGGGGACCTCCCAATTTGAAGCAGGGGGGTAGGTGTTGTTTCTGCCTTTGGCGATTCCTCATTTGGAAAGAAAAAACTTAATTTCCATTCTTTAGGTACTTTTATATGAACTTGGGCAAGTTGTTTAACCTCTTTAGGCCTCAATTCCTCATTAGTAAAATGGGAATAATACTAATATACTTGACCTGGTGGAGTTGTTGTAAGGATTAAATGATAATACATGTAAAGCACTTAGAACAATTCTGAGTACTATATAAGCATTAGCTGCTTTTATAAGTGCTGAGGGTGATGGGGAAACTTCATAGACACTGTCAGTCCATGGTTGCTTCCATTTGTTCTTTCCTTTTTTTTTTTTTAAATTTCCTTTTTTTTTTATTGTTGTAGTTAATTGTTTATATTTCAAGTTAGTCTCCCATACAAAATTTTATACATACATTGTTACAGACCCTAATTGCTCACCCCATTCTGCCACAGCACACTCCTCCTTTCCACCCCTGATTCCCCATGTCCTTTCAACCAGCTCTTAACCCTCTCTGCCTTCCCATCTCACCTCTGGACAGAAGCTGCCCCTTTCATCTCTTATATCTGCTTGACTAAGAGGAACACTCTTCTCAAGAATCGCTTTATGTCCCACAGTCCAGTCCACTCCCTGTTTGAAGAGTTGGCCTTGGAAATTGTTTTAGTTCTGGGCTGATAGTCTAGTAGCCATGCTTTCCGGGGTACCTCCAGTCTCAGTCAGACCATTAAGTCTGGTCTTCTGTTTTTTCTTGGTCTTTCAGTGCTTTCCTGCCCTTGCTTCTTTCCCTTCCCATCCTGGATCTATCTGGATCACTTCACTTCTCAGACTCTCAATTCTCTTGTAGCCATTACTTAGCACACATTGCCCCAAAGACTACAACTCAGAGATAGTGCTATAATCTGCCTTCCTCTATGCCTTACCTTCTCCCATTGGAGGTTGTGTGTATGTCGTGTGTGTATGCAGTACATACTGGTGGAAAAAGTCACATTGCTTGTTGGCCCCACCACAGATTCCCCACCCCTCCAACAAGCCTTTTGAGTCCCTAGTTTGCTTCTCCTCCCCTTACGTGCAGAAACTTTCCCAAAACCTAACTTTCCTCTTAAGCCCCCTATTTAGCGACTTGCCTTTTCACTGTCAGGAGACAAACCTCATTTCCTACTTTTTAAAATTTGAAGTCAACAAGTATCTCTCTTAAAACCCTCTCCACCCCTGAAGCCACCAGCTACAAACTTATCTATATTCACACTCGGCTTCATATGCTACTTGCCAAATCCAGCGGGCAGTTTTCAGCCCTTATCTTCCTGAACTTTTCTGCTGCTTTTGACACTGATGATCACACCTTCTTTCTCAAAACTCTACTTTCTTGGCTTTTGTGACATGATTTCTCTTTCAGTTCTCCACATACTTGTCCCATCTTTCCTGACTGCTTGCTTCATGAGTTCCTCTACCTCTGCCTGCCTCTTAAAGGTGGTGTTCTGCAAGCCTTGACCTCAGGCTGCTGCTCTGCTCACTCTACACATACTTCCTGGGTGACCTCTACTTTCCTATTTCCGCCAGTCCTTTCCCCTGAGCTTCAACTTTGAGGACAGCTTCTCCTAGACAACGGTCCTAGATGTCCTACATTCTGCTTTGACTTCTACAAAGCTCCCTCTGGCTGTCATGAGCAGAAGGAAGTAGAAGTGTCAGCAGTGCAGCCTGAGAGGAGTCCAGGTGAAGGAGCAGGGTGGCCTGGACTAAGGTGATGGCAGTGTGGATGGAGAGTGTCAAGTAATAAATGATCTGCCAACTCCAGTTAAGGAGGCCAGGGTCTAACAGAGAGGAGCCCTGGTGACTCAGTGGTTAAGTGCTTGACTGCTAACCAAAAAGTCAGCAGTTTGAACCCACCAGCTATTCCACAAGAGAAAGATGTGGCAGTCTGCTTCCATAAAGAGTTACAGCCTTGGAAACCCTATGGGAGCAGTTCTACTCTGTCATATAGGGTCACTATGAGTCAGAATCAACTCACCAGCAACGGATTTGGTTTTTTTTTTTTTTGTCTGATATGGAGGCATGATTCCCATCCCCAGAGAATCCCCTTGCTGATAGATGAGACTGTCCCACTGAGAGACTTCCCTGGCTGATGAGAAGTAGGCAGACCCTTCCCAGAAGAAGCCACCACCAGAACACTTACTCAGAAACATGCTTTTTTAAAAAAAGAAGGTGATTGTCCCCAGGTGAAGTGAGAGGGCTTGCAGGGGTGAGCACAGAGATAATCCAGGAAGGCATCCTAGAGTTGCTGAGTGTGAAACAAGACAGGGCAAGACCTAGAAGAGAGCTGAGGGGCTGCAGGCCCAGGCCAAGTGGAGCGCAGGGCGAGAAGCAGATTGGTTTGACAGGAGCAGATATGGGTTCTGCACAAAGGAGCTTTCTGGATAAGTAGAACAACAGAATGGTGAACAAGAAGGCCTCAAAGAGAATCTGATCCAGTGTTTCTTATAACCCCTCCCCCCAGCTTTGTTGAATGTAAAAGTCACACACCTTTTCATGTTATTTGAAATTGGAAACAAGTATTATGACCTAAGTGCCTGGGCTGAGACTCCGTCCCTGTGCTCAGAGCAGCAGGAAGTCCCCCTGCACGCTCTGCTATCAGGTAATCCCAGGTCACAGAATGGGGACAAGTGAGCATTGTTTGTGAGCCCAGGCTCCTCCTGTCACCTGAGTTTTCCATGTGTCAGTCTGGTGCTGAAAAAGCACAGGGAACAGGCATGGTAGGACCAGCTGGCTCTGACATCACTCTCTGTCTTCCCATAGTCCTCCGAAGCCTTGGAGTTTATGAAGCGGGACCTGACAGAGTTCTCCCAGGTGGTGCAGCATGACACAGCCTGCACCATTGCAGCCACAGCCAGTGTGGTCAAAGAGAAGCTGGCTGTGAGTACTGCCCACACCCTCCAAGGACTACCCCCTACAGCCTCACCCACCTGGGATCCTGATGGGGGCTCCCAACCTTTCTGCAGCTAGGTGGTTATTCCTCCCCGTGTTGTTGTCAGGTGCCATCGAGTCGGTTCCGACTCATAGCGACCTCGTGTACAACAGAATGAAAACACTGCCTCGTACTGCGCCATCCTCACAATCGTTATGCTTGCGCCCATTGTTGCAGCCACTGTGTCAGTATTTTTCCCCATAGGCTCCCACTTTGAAAGATTGTGTTAAACAATCTACATATGTTAGGTACCTTTCCTGCTTGTGTGTTGTGTTAGCATGTGTTTTCTTTTTAGCAAAGTCATTCATTGTAGACAATTTAGGAAATACAGATTTAAAAAAAACAGAAAACCTAGAGACATCCATAAGTCCATCTCCAGAGATAACCACTGTTAATTTTTTGGAGTATATCCCTTATCCACACTTTTTTTTTTCAAAACTGGGATCAGCTGAATACAATGTTTTGTAACCTACACTTTCACTTAATAATCATCGCAACCTTGTTCTACAGCGTCATAAATGGTATGGTATTCCGTTACGTGGATTTAACCAGTTCCTAGTTTCCTAGTTCAGTTTTTTCCATTGTTGACTGCAGAGTTGCAGTGAGCGTTCTGCTTGCTAAATCTTTGCCCATTGTCATGATACCATCTTTATAATAAAATACTGGAAGGGATCATAAGGTGAATATGGTTTGGGGCCTTTTAAAATCTAATGGAATACTATTCCCGGAAAGGTTGTGCCAACTTCTATTCTTACTGGCCCTGTTTTTATTAATCATAGATGTATAACAAACGCAGTGCTCTCATGAGATGGGAATTAGGTTCCAAAGTCAATGTAAAAAGTGAAAATTGTGTATGGACAAAGATACTCCTGTAAATGTTGAATTTCCAGTGAAATACTGTGTACTGGTTTTGGGGTACAGTTTTTTCTTTAGCACTGGAGCAGATTTAGATTTCTTCATTTGAGCACCAGCTGAATCAATTGCATTGTGGTAAGAGGCCATGTTGGAATATGCATTTTGGAGGTTGTGGGTTTTTTTTTTAAGCCAAGCTTATTTTGGTGAATCCTCTTGTAAAATACTGTCTGCCTGCTAACCATACCTGTTGATGAGCATGAATGACAAGTAGTGACCCTGCTGACTGCTGTAAGTCCACCAAGTAGCAGAGATACCACTTGTTTCTTTCATTCAGTCATTCCTTTTTCTTTTCATTCAACAAATCTGATTGTATTTGTGCCAACATGTGCCAGGCACTGTGGTAGGTTCTAGGTTTAAAATGCCTGGGCAGCCTGATTAGGAGTAAATGTTACAGTTTTCTCTGACTGCCTGAGCCTCTCTTAGCACCCCATCCCTACCTGCTCGAGGGCATCCTGACCAGTGTGGCTCAAGTTTTGTCTCCCACTTGCCCCTTTCAGGAGATCCATGTGTTGGCCCCAGCCTGTTCCAGGTTTGCCCTCAGACAAGGTTACTTGTGCTCATCCTGCCCAGATCTCCTTAACCTTTTGTACAAAATATTCTACTTCCTGAACAATGATAATGATGAATTATTACAGTACTACAATTTATTAAGTGCTTGCTATATGCTAGGCATTTACATGTTTCATCTCCTTTGATCTCCACAGTAACCGAATGAGAGATGTGTATTTATGCAAATTATATCAATAAGAAAACAGACTCAGGGTAGAAAGGTCTTACAACCAACAAGTGATAGAGCTGGGATTCAAATCTAAGTCTTAACTCCAAAGCTAGTACCTTTTCCACCATTCTACCCATAGGCCCTTCTCCCCACTGAAATGTCTGTGGCATGGATCATTTCCTGTCAATTTTTGATCAGCCCAACTGGCCTTGAAATTTTGATGAGTCAAGGATCTCTGTCCTGCCCTACACAGGCCTGCTGCAGCCCTGTGTCCCAGCCCCAGAGACAGGGTAAAAGGTCGTGAGCACTTACCTGGTCCCCACACACACAGTATACCTTTACCCCTGATGCTTCCTGCCTCCATACCCCAGATTGCATCCTGCCTCTGGGGCACTTGCTTCCTCTGCTGGCTTCTCTCTGCAGACTGAAGGATCCTCGGGGGCAACAGAGAAAATGAAGAAGGGGTTGTCTGACTTCCTGGGGGTGATCTCAGACACCTTTGCCCCCTCACCGGACAAAACCATTGAATGTGATGTCATCACCCTGATGGGCACGCCCTCTGGCACAGCTGAGCCCTATGATGGCACCAAGGTATTCACTGGGGTCTCCCCTGCAGATACTTACTAGTGCTGTACTTTAACTTCCAGCCGCTGCTTACAAAAGCAGTACATGTTCAGCCTGAAGAGTAAATATATGTGTATAACTAAATTCGAGAATACTGAAAAGCATGGAGAAGATAATTATTTCTAAACCCATAATTCTGTCACCCAAAGAGAACCACTGATTTCTCCTTGGTGTATAACCTTTCTTTTTTTTTTTTTTTTTTGCAAGAATAAGGTAAAGACAAAAGTTTGGGTTTTATTTGTTTTTAAAAAGGCACTTTATACATACAGTTTTGTAACTTGCTTTAAAATAAAGCTTCACAACAAACTATGAGCATCTTCCTAATCACCATCATTTTTAATGATTTTAAAGTTTGCAGTGAATATAGCATACTTTATTCCGCCATTTCCCTAGTGTTACACATTTGATTCCTTTCCGCTTTCAACCATAATAGGGAATGCTGTGGGAAGGAGCATCTTTAGAGGATACTGTCCACATTTGGGTTATATAAGACTAATTTCCAGTAGAAATAAACGTGAAGCAGGGAGAGTATCCTCAAGAGCACTTACATCAATAACCAGAATAGTGTATTTCTATCTCTTTTTATTTTCTCATCATTACTTCTCCTATTTCATGGAGTGTTTTACCCTAAATTAACTGTTCAGCCTTCTCTGTAGCGTTTTATCCCATTGAATTTCCATTCCAAACGTGCTGATTTTTCAAGCATGTTTTTCAGCACTGGCATTAGCACCACCACTTAGTGAACATATGAGTGGAATTGTGAAATCTTTAAATTATTGGGTTGTAAGTGATAACAGTGAATCATCACCCAGACCACTTGGGGAAGTTCTGATGCAGACAGACAGCCCCATGCTTCGGGTGATGCTGAGGAAAAACGGTGGAGCTTTCTGTTTTCCAGCTAAAGTCTGCCACTCCTGTGGCACCAGTGACAACACAGCTTATAGTTCACTTGGCAGACTGGCTGTGAAATTAAGAAATTCCTAATGGTTTTAATTTGGGGGAGATGCATTATTTCAAAATTTGCCCACAAATTTGGACTTCATTAATGTTTTTAATTTTTTTTATTTTGTTGTTATTGGGAATATACACAGCAAGACATACACCAATTCAACAGTTTCTACATATACCATTTACTGACACTTATTACATTCTTTGAGTTATAATGCCATATAATAATAAACCAAACCCATTGCTATCAGGTCGATTCCAACTCATAGCGACCCTATAGGACAGAGTATAACTGCCCCATAGGGTTTCCAAGGCTATAAACCTTTATGGAAGCAGACTGTCACATCTTTCTCCTGTGGAGCAGCTGGTGAGTTCGAACCGCCGGCCTATCAGCAGCCAAGCGCTTAACACTGTGCCACCAGGGCTCCTTTGATCCCGTATAGATGGTTCTTAAAAGAGCATAATGCTCAAGGCAGATGTTTTTTACTGATTAAGCTAAACTGTTGTTTGGTTTTAAGAAGACTTCAGGGGATATTTTTGGTTTAAGGTTTAAAGATGATCTCAAGGCAATAGTTTCAGGGGTTCATCCGACCTTTATGGCTCCAGGAAGTCCGGAATCCATGAGAATTGTAAATTCTGTTCTGCATTTTCCCCCTTTTTGAGCAGCAATCTTCTGTGGAATCTTTGATCAAAATGTTCAGTAATGGTAGCCAGGTACCATCCAGTTTTTCTGGTCTCACGGCAAAGGAGGCGGTTGTTCAGTTAGCCACACATTCCATATCCTCCTTCTATTCCTAACTCTCTCTCTTCCTCTGATGTTCCAGGCGAATAGAGACCAATTGTTGTGCCTTAGACAGCTGTTTGCAAGCATTTAAAACCCCAGGCACTACGCATCAAACTAGGAGGTAGAACAGAGACAGTAACCATGTTATTAGGCCAGTTAACTGGGATGGCCCCACGAAACCATGACCCTAAATCACCAAACCAAGAAACTAAATCCCATGAGGTTTTTGGTTATACATAAGCAGCCTTAGCAGCTACTCTTTTTTTTTTTCCATTGTAAATGTATCTGTCAAACAACTTTTTCCAATTCAACTTTTTACAGGTGTACAACTTATTGACAGCGATTACAATGATCAGCTGTGCAATCCTACCCTTAATCATGTGATATTTCCATCCCCATTAAACCCCCTTTCCCTCTACCCCTGGTAACCACTAATAAACTTTGTCTTTTCTTATCTTTTTATATAAGTTAGGTCATACTGGTCTTTATATTTTCACTAACACTTCTAATTTCACATGATTCAAAAGCAGTTCATACGTACAATTCCGTAGCCTACATACACTGTATTTTCTTAGTTCCCAGAGCTAGAACACTGGGTGAAGACTCTTAACCTGGTTCTCCCCTCCTTATGCCACAGCGTTAATTGACAAATGTCCTGTAGGTGTGGCAGCCAAGTGGCTATCGGATTATGGGAGAAGCTAGGTTGTGGTTGATTGGGTACTCTTGCAAAGATGGGGTGCTTTCTATGCCCAGCATCCCAGAATTTATGTTCTCTCTTCTCTGTTTCATCTAGGCTCGCCTCTATAGCCTGCAGTCAGATCCAGCAACCTACTGCAATGAACCAGATGGTGAGGGGGTAGGGGCTAGGGGGTGGGCTTACAGAACAAGTAAACCAAAGGGGTCTGGTCTCTGAGCCCTGTTTGCCTCAGGCAGCAGAGGCCAGGCACCCCCTATACAGAGGAGCCAAGGTGGGGCTAGTGTGTGCCTTATGCTCAGTGGGATGAGTTGATGCTCCCTTTTCCCCTCTGAACCCAGGGGTCTTCCTCCTCTCTGCAGAGGCTTTGCTCCTCCCATCCTTCATCCCATCAGTTCAACCCCGCTCCCAGCCCTGCTGCCTCCCTGCCTTCCTTTCAGCACCTATTTGCTAAGCCCCGTGCCAGGAGCTAGAGATGAGACATGAGTCAAACCTTCAATCCCTGTCCCTTAAGGAACTTGGTGCTAAGAGAGAAAAACAGTGAATAAAGTGGAGAGAGTAGAGTGAGCACCTGACCAAAGGATTGGAAGCCCAGAGGAATGGCACCTAACCAGCTGAGGGTTCCGGGAAGTGACACTTGAATTGGGGCTGTAAGGATGAATTAGAAATAAACTAGACAGGGAAGTCGGGGAGGGCTGTTCAAGGAAAGGAACGGTATATCTGAAGGCCCAGAAAGAACAGGGAGTGCCAGCCATTTGGTAAGGCTGGGCTAGGGAGTGTGTGTGTGAGGGAGTGAAGGACATAAGAGGTGCCCAAGGGATAGGTTGTGAAGGGCTTTGTGTGCCAGATTAAGCAGTTTGAATTTTGTCCTAAGAGGCTCCAGGTAGAGCTTCTTAACCTTTTTTAGTCAAAGGCCGTTGAAAATGACAAATACTCTTTCCAGAATAATGCCCATGAAATTTTGTATGTAGTATGGGAATTCTTTGACCCTTTGAAGTCTATCTATAGAATCTAGCTTTAAAAAGCCCTCCCACAAAGAACCATTGAAGGGTTTTGAAGCCTGAGGTGGTCAGATATGCATTTTATGAAGAGCTTTTGGGCAGTATTTGTGTAGGATAAAATTTGAGAAGGGAGAGACACAAGACTGGAAGGCCAGTTAGGAGGCTGTGGTAGGAATCTCTAGTCAGAGGTAAGGCCATACCCTGGGAAGTGGCAGGTGGAATGAAGAGGAGGTTGTGCATATGAGACACTGAGGACATAGAATTCACAGTGATTGGATAAGAGAGGAGGCTAGGATGGCCCCCAGGTTTCCAGATGGATAATCTGGAAAGGAGAGAAGAAAATGAGCTCACATTGGGTTTGCAGCACCTATGTAGGTGGAGGTGTCCAGGGGACACCTAGTCCTGTGGATCTGCAGCCCAAAAGAGTGGTCTGGGCTGCAAAGAGAGACTGAGGAATTGTCAGTGGGAAGAGGGGTTGAAACTCATGGTTTAGTGGAGGTTATCTTGGGAGAAAATAGAGAATGTGAAGAAATAAGGGCCAAAAGGAAAAAGAGAAGCCCATGTAGATTCAGAAGGAGCAACCAGAGAAGTGGCAGGAAAATCACAAGAGTGAGAAGCCAGGGGAGGCAAGGGTTTCAAGAAGGCAGTGACTCCCAGGGTCAGAACCTACAGAACAGACATGTGAGGAGAGGCAAAATAGAGGGGCCACAGTGGGGCTAGTGTGTGCCTCATGCTCAGTGGGATGGGTTGATGCTCCCTTTTCCCCCTGAACCCGAGTGTCTTCCTCCCCTCTGCAGAGGCTTTGCTCCTCTCTTCCCTCATCCCATCAGGTCAGCCTCCCTCCCAGCCCTGCTGTCTACCTGCCTTCCCTTCAGCACCTGTTTGCTTAAGCCCCATGTTGGTGACTGAGAACAGCAGTTTCAGAGAGGAGGGGATTCAGTAGCCAAGTGCACGGGGCTAAAAAGCGAGCAGGGATGTGAGAAAGTGGAGGCTACAGCCCCTTCTGGACATCACTTAGGTACCCTGCCTCAATCTCAGTGAGGCCCCCCGACCCCGTCACCCTTCCTGACCCCCACCCTAAGCCAAATGGCTCTGAAAAAACCCTTAAGCTTTCCCCATGGTCCATGTCCAGGCTTAGGTTTGTTCTGTAAGCCCACTGTTCTTTCCCCAGGCCCAGGGCACTAACCATCAGCATCTGTCCCTCTGTAGGGCCCCCGGAATTGTTTGACGCCTGGCTTTCCCAGTTCTGCTTGGAGGAGAAGAAGGGGGAGATCTCAGAGCTCCTTGTAGGCAGCCCTTCCATCCGGGCCCTCTACACCAAGATGGTGAGGGCCCAGCTAGCAGAACCTCAGCCAGCTCCAAGCTTGAGGTGTCGGGAGGTGGGAGGGATGAATCTAGAGTCACTGTGGGGTCATCTGGCCCAGAAAGCAGTGGGAGACCATGCAGAGCGAGACCAGCCACATCCTGAGCCAAGAATCCGCATGGGAGAAGCTGTTTATCCGGGCTTTTGGCAGTCAGATAATGGTGAGAACTGGAAGGGTCAGCAAGCCTGATGGGAGTTCTTTTCTTCCTCTTTGGCCGAGCTGGGCCAGGAAGGTGGGTCTGGCTAAAACTTTGGTGGGTGGAAGCACTCTGAGAATCACTGCTAAGCCACTTACTGTGCCTGGGATCCGGAGCAGCTGGGAGCAGACCCCATACCACCACTTCCAAAGTCTCATTCCCACTTTCCCCTCCCTCCAGGTCCCAGCAGCTGTTTCTCATTCAGAATTCTGGCATCGGTACTTCTATAAAGTCCATCAACTAGAGCAGGTATGTTGGCCTAGCCTGGGGAGGCACTCCACTCAGCCATGGGGGAAACAAGCTGGATTTTGTTGAGGGAAGAAGGGGATACAGGGTGCTAAGAGTTCTGGTGTCAGGACCAGGATCTGAGAAGAGGGTACCCTGACTCTCCTGGCTGTCTGCTCCCCCACACTCAGGAGCAGGCCCGGAGGGATGCCCTGAAGCAGCGGGCAGAACAGAGCATCTCTGAAGAGCCTGGCTGGGAGGAGGAAGAAGGTAAGCGGTGTTGAGAAGTGATGGGCAAGTAATGGGACCTGCCTCAGAAGACTGGCTGGGCCATGCTCTCTGAAGCGTGGAGAGACTTGGGGACCAGGGAAGAGTAGGTAATGAGTACAGTTTTTGTCTGTGCAGAGGATAGGCTGATCTAACAAGGGAGATGTTCAACAAGGCTGGGGAGTCCTGGGTTTAGGTACAGAAATCACATGTCATTGGACAAAGTCCCCTGCCAGCCCATGGGCTGGCTACTTCATAGTCACTTGGGAAGCTTTTTGAAAATCCAGATTCCCTTCCTCACGTTCTAAATACGACTCTATAGGGACAGGGCCAAACTTGTGTTTTCTTTGTTTTTTATGATACAAATACATAATAACCAGACATTTACCATGTCAACATTTTTTACATGTACAGTTCAGTGATATTAATTACGTTCATCATGTTGTGCAACCATTACCACTATTCATTGCCAGATTTTTCCATCACCCATAACAGAAGCTTCGTGCCCCCTAGGCAGTGACACCCCTACCCCTCCCTCCTACCCTTAGTAACCACTAATAAACTTTGGTCTCTATACATTTGCCAAGTCTAGATAGTTCATATAAGTAGGATCTTATAATGTTTGTCCTTTTGTGTCTAACTCATTTCTCTCAGCATAATGTTTTTAAGGTTCATCCATGTTGTCGCATATGTCAGGACTTCATTTCTCTTTATGGCTGGGTAATACTCCATTTTATTTATTTATTTACTTGTTTGCTTGCTTTACTTTGCTTTCTTTTTTTCTTACTGACTTTTACTTTCTTAGTTACTTATTTTCTTTCATATATATACATATATGCCACATTTTGTTTATCCATTCATCTTTTGATGGACACTAGGGCTGTTTCCACCTGTTAACTATTGTGATTAGTGCTGTAACAAACATTGGTGTACAAATATCTGTGTTCCTGTTGAGTTATATGGTAATTGAACTTTTTAGAAACTGCCAAACTTTTCTACAGCAGCACTGTTTTACAATTCCACAAGCACTGGATAAGGGTTCAAGTTTCTCCACAAGCTCACCAACACTTGTTGGTTTCCATTTTTCTGATCATAGCCATCCTATGAAATGAATGGGGTGAAATGGTAAATCACTGTGGTTTTGATTTGCATTTCCCTAATGACTAACGACGTTTAGCATCTTTTCATGAGCTTGTTGGCCATTCTCTCTTCTTTGGTGAAATGTCTATTCTAGTCTTTTGCCCATTTTTTGACTGGTTTGTTTGTCTTTCTGTTGCTAAGTTGTAGGAGTCGAACTTGTGTTTTTAGCATGCTCCCCTGGTAATAGTCATGCCAGGTTTGCAAGCCACCAGCTTGTGGCAGTTTGCTGAGCATTCTCTATCCAGTAGCTCAGCTTAGAACAGTGTGTTGGAGCCACCTGCATGATATAGCATTAACACATTTATTAAGTGCTTATATTATGTGCCCAGCCTGTATCTACAGCTTTACATGCATAGTTCTCACCACAACTCCATTATCCCTCTTTCAAGAATGAGGCAGGTAAATTAAAGAAAAGTGAAGTGACTTGACCAAGGTCATGAACCTAGGATATAACAGAACCCAATCTGAACCCAAAACAAACTCACCTTCAAGTCTTAGCTTTCTAATCTATAACACCATCTTGCGCTGTGTTGATGGAAGCTGAGTGCCCACCAAACGCGCTAGGCCCCATGAGTAGGAAGGACTTTGACAATCAAAGAGTGTCTGCAGAAGAACAGAGATGGGAAGGGAATGAGGGAGGGTGAGAAAATGTGCTGTTTAATCTTGATCAGAGTAAGCTTTGGCAGGAATCTGAGGTCTGTCTTCAGAGAGCTCCAACGATATTCAAGGCTCTTCAGGGTACACTGTGCTCTTACCCCTACCTTTCTGTCTCTACAGAGGAGCTTGTGGGCGTTTCACCCACATCTCCAAAAGAAGCAAAGGTCCCCGTGACCAGAACTTCCACGTCGCCTGAAGGAAGAGCTGAACCCCAGAGCCCCTGTGGAGAGAATCTAGTGACCCCAGTTGAGACTCCAGCAGAGGTGACTCCATCAGAGAGCAGTGAAAGCATCTCCCTCGTGACACAGATTGCCAACCCTGCCACCTCACCTGAGGCACCTGTGCTGCCCAAGGACCTGTCCCAAAAGCTGCTAGAGGCATCTTTGGAGGAACAGGGCCTGCCTGTGGATATGGGCGAGACTGGACCTCCGCCCCCAGCTCACCCCAAACCCCTAGCCCCTCCTGGCCTCTCCAGTAGCCCAGAACGCAGGCCTCCAGCCAGAGTAGAGACTCTGAGGGAGGAGGCGCCCACAGACTTACGGGTGTTTGAGCTGAACTCAGACAGCGGGAAGTCCACACCCTCCAACAACGGAAAGAAAGGTATGTTTAGAGGCCTGAGCTCGGGGGTTGTGCGGGAGCAGGGCAAGTAAGAGTTTGCCTCACAAGGCAAACTTAATCTTGTTTGGATCCTAGGAACAGAATTCCTTCATCTGTGATACTAATGATGATGGTAGCTGCTATATGTTACCATATTTCATCAATTTTAAGGTGCACTTATTCTTTGAAATCAGGGTGCATCTTATAATAGATGGGGGTCTTAGATTCAGTGAAAAATGGTTTATTACAGGTCCTGTGCCAAGGATGTTATGTTGCATTTAATTGCTCACTTACATCTCACAGCAAGTGAGATCAGTATTATTATCCTCATTTTACAGATGAAGAAAGTAGAACCCAGAAATGTTAAGTAGCTTGCTCAGATTCATACAGCCACAAAATGGCAAGCCCAGGTTCAGACCCAGGGCTATCTGACTTCAAGCACATGCCCTTAATTACCACACTGTGCCAGTTTCTATCCTTTCGGACAGCTCACCCTTACTCTTCTGTCATTGGTGTCAAGGGTCTTCTCCCCAGGGTAACCTTAACAAAGACATTTAGCTTCCCTGAGCCTTCATTAATTATTATTAAATACGTAAATGAGACTTATATGTACAGTTTGAAGAAGAATAAAATGAACATCCATGAACTTCCTGTGACTCAGCTTAAGTAGTAGAGCTTTAGTTTCTTTTCTTGTGTAACAGAATTTTAGACTGGGGACTCTTTGGCTTTATGTCAAAGGAGAACCTCGCTCACCCCTATAATTAAAGGACAAGGTGTCCTTTAATAGTTCTGGTGTCAGTTTTTTGTCATATCCAAAATACCTCACCAGGGACAATATTGTCAGCAAGGCCTCACCTCACCCCTCACACTGATCCTCTCTTTGCTAACGCTCAGTGCCAGTCACAGCCTCAGAGCTTGCCCAGCAGGTAAGACCTGACCTGCAGGTGCAGTGAAGGACTGACTGGTTTGCTGCAGTGTATGGGAAATGGGCCCTGCCCCACCCCTCCCCTGCCCCCCAACAGAATCGACAAGGTTTCCAGTTTCCAACACAGTGCTTTCTTTCTGACTCTGATTCAGTGAGGTCATCTATGGGGCTCCTGCCTTCTCTTTATGAGACACTGAGGGGGGAGGGGCAAAGGCTGCAGTCTTTATGATGAAGCATGAAGTGTATGGGGCAGGCTTGGTGCTGGAGGAGCTCAGAGAAAGAAGGAATCCCTAGGCACCAGTGGTGTTTCCCTGAGGAGACAGGCATTGTATGAGAGTTGGAGAGTTTGGGGCAGGTGTGAGGAAGTGATAGTCCAGGCGGAGGGAGCTACAAAGTTCAGATAGAAGAGGGCACAGGGCATGTTTAAGGAGTGAAGACCAAAGTCCACTTTTCTGTACTGTCTCCAGGAAGGGTGGGTGGGTTAGCTCAGAAATAGAACTTAAGAACTTAAAATCTTAAGCTGGATTCAGGAGGTTGGACTTGGTGATATAAAACAGCAGTGCATGGAGGCCGAGGGCTCAGGCTCTGGAGTTCAGACAGGACTGGGTTCAAATCCCAGGTAGTTCATAAGCCGTGTGACTGAAGATATTGATCTTTAAGCCTCTGTGTGCTCCTCTATAAATTAGAGGTCGTTGTTTCACAGTAGGTTCTCAAGCAGGGAAGAAGCTTGGTCAGAGCCCTGCTCTGAGAAAATGATCATGATGATAGTAAGAGAGAACATTCCCTGAGCACTTTCTATATGTCTGGCTCTCTGCTAAGCACTTTATATGCTTATTGCTCAATCCTTAAACGAAAGCTCTGTGGGATATGTTATTTCCCCCATTCTTTACTGGTAGGAAATTGAAATTGATCACTCACCCAGTAAATACTTAGAAAAACATAAAGTGGCCGTTTAGGAAAGTGGGGGAGTAGATGCACCCATCAAGGGTAGTGGGCTTGCAGGTGGTTGGTACTAAGGGCCCACTGAGGTTGTGGTCATGGATTTTAACTGATACCAGTCAACACTGTTGTACTTTTGTCCAGCCACATTCCATTGCTTAGGTGCAGGCCCAGAGCAGATGGGGAGTTGGTTTTAACCAGGGTTCAAGATTAGACAGGTGAAATCAGTGGAAGAAAAGAGAGAGAGCCTAAGTATATGCAAGAAGTGATTGATCAAAGTGATGGCTCATGGAATCTGAGCTGGGTAAGGAAGGGAATGAGGGATAGTGAGGAGGGTTGAAGAATTAGGTTCCATTTGGATTTGGGCTGCTAGAGAGGGTGAATCAGATAGTAGTGGTTGGAGATTAGATGCTTGAAGTGGAGGTTATGGAGGTGGTGCAGTGTGTCTTAATCATCTAGTCTGCTCCTCTGATGCACTCAGGGTATGTGAAAGGAGGGGCTTGGGATTCAATGCAGGACACCCACAGAAGCAGCTGTAGCCATGTGGGGGTAGCCAGGGTCTTGCTAGGACCAGGGTAGGAGCAACGGGACCAGAGTAAAGGGGATAAATCTTAAAAGGAAGAATGGAGCTTGGAGACAATTTGATTCCTTTTCCGTCTTATGCTCACACCTAGGAGTACGTGAGGCTTGCTCTCCAGGTACAGCAGAGTCTCTTGGGGTGGCCAAGATCGAGGGTCCCAGGGCAGTCCCTGCCATTGCAGAGCTGCTTCCTACCTGCACTTTGCCCCAGAATCCATCTGACCTAGGAGATGAGCCTGCCCAGCTTCTCTCAGTGAGGACAAGGGGCTGGGTATGGGGTGGCTGATGGGGCAGGCCTGTGGACTGGAAGGCGCAGCCCTGGGTGTAAGCCCCTACTTTGCCACCTACAATCTGTGTGACCCAGAAGCAGTTCTTGCCCCCATTTCTCTCTCAGGGAAGCAGAGATCCAGTTAAACAGTAAAATGAGCTGTGAGTGACAGCACTGTGAGGTTAGTAATCACCTGGGAACTCCCTTTCTGAAAGTCAGTCTCCATCCTGAAGCCTTCAATTGTGTGCAGGTCAGCTTTCTGCCCCCTGCACAGTGGAGTGGAAATCTTGGTACTTACCTCACCAGACCGGACAGAATGGTGGGAGGAGGCAGGTGGCAGAAAGAGCCCAGATTCATCTCTCGCTCTGCCACTTGAAGCCATCATTTCCTTATGTGAAAAACTGGAACCGTTACTACCTACCCCAGGGGGTAGATGTGAAGTGCTCCAGAGATGTTAACTGATACTCTGCTTTCTACCCCTGGAAGGGTTTGCCCTAGCATTTAAGCCTGAAGAGGGCATTTTGTATCCCTAGGGGGCAACCTGAGGGAGGGAACACTGCCATAGCCACAGCCAGGAGCCGGCTTCTCACCCACAGGAAGCCCGCGCTGACAGGTAGCTAGAGGGGTGCCACCCAGGTGTCCTGAGGTACAGGGGGACTTAGGGGAGGAATCAGAGGAAAGGGTCTTGGTTGCAGCTCTGCGTCTGGCTGTGGGACCACGGGCAAAATGACTTAACTCTTAGACAGGACAACGTCTTTAGAAGAAATCCAGCTCTGTTTGTTAAATAGCCCTATGTATACATGTAACAGAGTCCCTGGGTGGTGCAAACATTTAACATGCTTGACTACTAACCAGAAGGTTGGAGGTTTGAATCCACCTAGAGATGCCTCTGAAAAGAGGCCTGGCAATCTACTTCTGAAAAATCAGTCATTGAAAACCCTATGGACTAAACTAAAGCTAAGAAGTTTCCTGAATACAACCAAACACTTCGAGGGACAGAGTAGCAGGGGTGGGGGTCTGGGGACCATGGTTTCAGGGGACATCTAGGTCAGTTGGCATAACAAAGTTTATTAAGAAAATGTTCTGCATCCTACTTTGGTGAGTGGCGTCTGGGATCTTAAAAGCTTGGCGAGCAGCCGTCTAAGATGCATCAGTTGGTCCCACCCACCTGGAGTGAAGGAGAATGAGGAACACCAAAGACACAAGGAAAGCATTAGCCCAAGGGGCAGAAAGGGCCACATAAACCAGAGACTCCATCAGCCTGAGACCAGAAAAACTAGATGGTGCCTGGCTACCACCAGTGACAGCCCTGACAGGGAACACAACAGAGAGTCCCTGATGAAGCAGGAGAAAAGTGGGGTGCAGAACTCAAATTCTAGTAAAAAGACCAGATTTAATGGTTTGATTAAGACTAGAGGCACCCTGGAAGACATGGCCCCTGGACTCTCTGTTAGCCCAAAACTAAAACAATTTCTGAGGCCAGCTCTTCAGACAAAGATTAGACTGGACTATGGGACATAAAATGATACTCGTGAAATGATACTTCGTGAGACTAAGTGGGCAGCTCCTGTCCGGAGGTGAGATGCGAAGGCAGAGAGGGTCAGGAGCTGGTTGAATGGACATGGGGAATCCAGGGTAGAAAGGAGGAGTGTGCTGTCACAATCTAGGGAGAGCAACTGGGGTCATATAATAATGTATAAATATGTGTATGGGAGACTAACTTGAATTGTAAGCTTTCACTTAAAGCACAACAATAAAAAAAATAAAACCCTATGGAGCACAGTTCTACTTTGATACACATGGGGTCGCCGTGAGTCGGAATGTACTCAACGGCAGCTGGTTGGTTTTTTTTTTTTTTTAATACATGTAAAGGGTACTTTACATTCCTACCTCTAATCCCAACTGTTGTTTCTCACACTGGGCCAAGGTCTATATAGAATCACCCAGGTACCTGTTTATAATGCAGAATCCTAGGTTACCACCTAGACCTGCTCAATCTGAATGGTGGGAGGGGGAAGGAAATCTGCATTCTAATAAGCTTCTTGGTGATTCTTTGCAAACTAAGTGGTTTTATTCTTATTTTATGAACAGACTGAAGCCCAGAATATTTCCCAAGACCACACAATAGGTAAATGAGTAGGGATTCAACCTAGGTCAGCTGGCTCCTAAGACTATGCATGCTCTTACCACACTGGGGCTAGCTAGGCTGAAAGGAGATAGTGTGAGACACCATATGCGGCAGATGAGAGCAGGGCTTAGAGGGACGTTTCAGAGGCTGGGTGCCTGGTGAGGAGCAAATGGGACAAGAACAAAGATGTTTTTACAGGCCATCCCACTGGGGGAGCCAGGGACTGACTCTTTAAAGATGCCTTTTTTTTTTTTAAACTATTTTGTTGTTAGTTGCTGTCGAGTCAGCTCCAGCTCATGGCAACTCCACCTACAACAGAACAAAATGTTGCCCAGTCCTGCACCATCGCCACGATCACTGTCCATTCTTGTGGCCACTGTGTGTTCTGAGTGTATTCCCACCTAGGGGGCTTATTTTCCAGAACGATATCAGACAATATTCTGTTGTGATCCATAGGGTTTTCATTGGTTAATTTTTGGAAGTAGATTACTAGGCCTTTCTTCCTAGTCTGTATTAGTCTAGAAGCTCTGCTAAAACCTGTCCACCCTGGGTGACCCTGCTGGTATTTGAAATACCAGAAGCATATCTTCCAGCATCGTAACAACACGCAAGCCACCACATTACAACAACCTGACAGAAGGGTAGTGGCTTTACCTATTAGAAAATAATATGTGCTCGTTGTAGAAAAAAAGCACCACGAATCACCCATGACCCCGTGTCCTAGAGATAACTTTTGCTAGTATTTTTGTGGGCATCTTGCTCATGTTTTCTGTATATGTGCATACACCTATGAGTGTATTTTTACAATGGAATTGTATATACTGGGAGCTTTTTGTTTTTAAAGTAATTACTTATGCAGTTTGCTTCTTAGTGATAATTTTCAGATATACATAATATTACCTGTAAGAAGTCACACTCAAATATAAATATTTAGAGTAGTGGTTGTCAAACTTCAGTGGTTATCAGAATCACTTAGAGTAGGGCTTGGAAACTGTTTCTGTAAAGGGCCGGATAGTAAATATTTTAGGCTTTGCAGGCCGTACAATCTCTGTTGCAGTTACTCAGCTCTGCTGTTGTAGCACAAAAGCAGCCCTGGGTAATATGTAAACAAATGGGCATGCCTGTGTTCCAAAAGGAAATCCTGGTGGCATAGTGGTTAAGAGCTACAGCTGCTAACCAAAAGGTCGGCGGTTCAAATCCACCAGGCACTCCTTGGAAACTTTACGGGGCAGTTCTACTCTGTCCTGTAGGGTCACTGTGAATTGGAATCAACTTGACAGCAACGGGTTTGGTTTGAGTTCCAAAAACTTTTATTTATAAAAACAGATGCCAGGCTGGATTTGGCCCACAGGTTATTGTTTCCCAACCCCTGGTTTAGAGAAAAGGTCCATGGATATTTATTGCATGGCAACTCTGTGTTCTAGGCACTTGGAATATGTCAGAGCTTACATTCTGGCTCCTCTATTATTAAACAGTAAACATAGTCTGATTATATACATATTAGAAAATGATGAATACAGTGTGAAAAAGAACAACTAGAGCAATCGAGAACAACTAGGGAATCGAGAGTGAGGGAAATGGTTTGCAATTTAAAATAGAATGATCAGGGTAGACCACATTTAGATGGTGAGATTTAAGGACAGGCGGGAAGGCAGTGAGGAAGTTAACCATGTGGATATCTGAGGAAGAGAGTTCCAGGTACTGGGAACACCCTATGCAAAGGCCCTAAGGTGGAAATGTACCCCCTGGTGTGTTTAGGAGTAGCAAGCTCAGTGTAGGGAGTGGGGAGGGAGGAGGTTTATTGTTTATTTCTTCTGGGAGATTTCTGTGGCTCCCAGGGAGTCTCTGGGCAAAGTGCTTCTCTACTATTTAGTAACCTGCTTGTTCTCATTGAATAGTTTAAGACCATTTACCATGTATGTAAGTGTTCTACAGCCTAACTTTTTAAAACTACATGGTGTTCCATCTTGTGACTACACCATTTATTTTAGTAATTCCCTATCACTAGACTTTCAGGTTGTTTCCAAGTTATGGTACTACAGTGAGCATCCTGTTGGCTAAATCTTTGACTGAATCTAGGATTTTTCCTTAGAATAGACTTCTAAAAATGGGGTCACTGAGCTGCTTACCTGAAAGCAGAATATAAAAAAAGACTTTAGTCAGGCCCTCTTAAAGAGTGCCATCACCCCCAGCCCAGTCTCTTCAGATTTCTCTCCTCGCCCCTTCCTTCCTTTCATACTGTGAACTGTGGTTCCAGGCTCAAGCACGGACATCAGTGAGGACTGGGAGAAGGACTTTGACTTGGACATGACCGAAGAAGAAGTGCAGATGGCACTTTCCAAAGTGGATGCCTCCGGTGAGGTGAGTAGGCCTCGTTAGCTACAGGGAAGCAAGTCCAGTGATCCCAGTGTCTGAGAACTCTCCCCGCCAAGCTTAACTATCCCCTCAGGGTGGATCCCTTCTTCTGAGGTTCTAAGCTTTCAGGAAGGAGGCAGAGGTCTCTCACTCAGGCCCAGGACAGTTGTTGTCAGCAGGCTCTACTTCCTCTCAGCTCCAGGGTGAATGGATGGGAGAGTTCTTGACCTCATCTCTGCTTTAAAATCACCTGAGGAACTACTTAAAAATACAGGTGCCAAAACCTTGCCCTAGACCTTCTGACTCAGGGTCCCCAGGTGTGGGGCCTAAGTAGATTCCTGGCCTTGGAGACAAAAGACCAGTGTGATCTAGGACAAGTAACTTAACCTGAGGCTTTTTTTTCCCCCCATCTAAAATATTAGATTGATAATTGTAAGACCTGACTTACAAGCTGCAATGAGATACTGCATATAGACATGTTAGGCCTGGTGCCTGGGACATGGTAAGCATCAGTGGACGTTAGCAGAAAACACCACAAAACCCGTTCCACTTACTAAGTTCAAAGAGGCCTTATTACTCTTGTTCTTCATTACCTCCGAGAGTCAAGACTGGGTCATTCTGAATGAGAGTCTGGACAATCCAAAGCTCACACAGCTAATAAGTGACAGGACTGAAGCTCCAGCCCAGACATCTGATTCAAGTCAGTGTTACTTCCACTGTCACACAAGAACCACATGGTTCCTACCATCAATTAATTCTAAAGAGGTGGACCAATCAGAGAGACTTGAAGGGCCTCAGTTATATGGGAAACTGAAGCTTGAGGTGAGATAGTGACCTACCCAAGAGTATTTTACACCTGTGACCTTACGATACCCAGGGCAGGGAAGGCCCATGGCTCCCTAACATGCCATCGGGTCTTGCTGGTTTTTTGTGTCTTTGCAACCCTTTATAGAACCTAACATACATTATACCTGAGCAGAGTCATTCTGTGACCCATCATCTTAGGGATCATCCAGCAGCAGGGCAAGAGAAAGTTCCCTGGGGAGGCTCCAGCTGGGGATAAAGGTGCTGGGGCTAGAGGATTGAAGACCCTGTGAGGCCAGTGCCACCCTTGCTTCTGTCTCTCAGAGCCATAGACTTAACCACCCAGCAGGAGACATGCTCTCCTTAAGAGATGGACTGACTTGCTTCCTGTAGGGAGGGCATCCCCTTGCAGTGTCCAGTGCTGGTGGAAGCATTCCCCTTGGGTCTGAAATGATGAGAACAGCAGACCCAGCCCTGAGGCAGAGGGCAGCTGTGTTCCCCAGACACAGCCCCTAAGACTGGTGGTTCAGTCTTCTAGAAGGGCCAGGTGTCAGGGCTGTTGGAAATGGAGGCAGCCCTGCTCAGTAAGGGGGGGATGGGTTTGGGTTTGACTCAAAAGACTAAATATGTATTTGTGTTCCCCATTGTCCTCTCCCATTTGCAGCTGGAAGATGTGGAGTGGGAGGACTGGGAATGAGGGGAGCCAGAGTGAGCAGCTCTCTCACCCACAGCACCTCTTACCTCTCACGCTTGCCTCAGCCTGGCCCCGGAAGACACTGACTGAGAATGTCCCCCAAATGGCCTCTGTCAAACAGAGCTCTGGGCACAGATTCTAGGTTGCTCCCTGCTGGCTCTTTGGCACCTAGAGGGGACCTCTGCCCACACCTGGGAAGGGGCTCTCTACATCAAGCCAGGAACTCCGACTTGTGCCAGTCATAGGGTAACCTAATGGGGAGGAGGCCTGCCCTTCTCACGGAAGAGCCTACATTTCTCTGCTGAATACCCACTGTTCCTGGGAACTCCTGCTGGGAAGTCCCAAGGGATAGCTCTAGCCCTTCTGCCTGTGTAGACAGAAGCTAACCCACCAGTCTCTTGGAGTAAGCCAAGATAACACACTCCATGAGCAGGCAAGGAAGGTCATGCCACCTGTCCTTGGCTAGAAATGGACAGAGAGCACATTTTGGTTCCCATACCAGTGAGTAAAGGCATTCATCTCTGGGAAATTTTCCTGTTGGGAATCTCTTCCCTGATCCAGGCCTTTTGCATTCCTGGAAAGATTCCTTGTGGTTCAGAATCTCAAGACCAAACCCTGAATTCCCACCTCCTACCTTTCATGCAGCCCAACCCTGGTATGTCCCCAGGCCTTTCCCAGGGCTTCTTCGTGTCCAATGCACCCAAGTCCTTAGCCCAGCTGTGCCACCTGCAAGAGTCTGTTCTTGCATTTCTTCCTCCCCAAGAAGGGAGGAGGCCACTTCAGGCCTTTCTGTGCATTTCCTGGTGGGATATCTTGTCCAACCAGCTACCCACCTCGATTCCCCTGTAGCTTAGGACATAAGCCAGCTACCAGCGGTACAGAGCAGTGATCAAAGCCGACTACTTACAAATCTGGTAAGCCAACACTTCCACCTCAACCCTTCTGCTTCTTGAAGGGATGTACTGAGAGTGAACTTCTTGAGGCTCTCACCAGGCTTCTGCAAACGCTCTTCTTCCTGAAGACAGAGCCAGACTCTGTGGCTCTCACCCTCCACTCTGGTAAAGCTGCCGCTCTTTTGGGGGAACGGGGGCGCTGCAGGACTCCCTGGAGACCCTGGTGCTTCATGATGCTGCTCTGGCGATTCTTGTACATAACCTGGTGTGTTCAGTGATTTAAAGGGATCATGGTCAGGATGCCAAGGAGTGGTGGTCACTTCCACTTCTAACATTCAGTGAGGGGGTGGGATGGAGAGAATGCTGAGTCTTTTTTTGAAGGGATGGGGCTTTTCTCTTTGTAATTATTTCTTTAGTTTAATTAACCTTTTGGTTGTTTGTGCAATATTATATATTTTAAATTATAATGCATCTCCCCAGAGTATTTTGTAGCTGGGAAAAGAAAAAAGGAGAAAAAAAAAAAAAGATTCTAACAGCTGTTAGTTTTGTAATTATAAAAGAAAGAAAAAAGAACTTTGTCCTGAACCTTTTACAGACTTGCCGTTAACAGCATTAAAGAGATTGAACAGAAGCTGGAAGGTGTCTGGGGCTCTGTTCTTGCCCCCACAGCTCCTGCACCGGAGCCAGGGCAGGACGCACACACTGTGCAGGGGTGCCTTCCAACTTGGAGCGGGGAGGGGGGACCAGGGGCAGCCTGAGTCCTGAGGAAGTCCCTTGTCCTTATCCCAAACTCGCCTTGGGTTTTGAAATGAGGAAGGGACCCCGTCCCCCACAGGCCTCTCACTAAGACAAGGAGTCAAGAAGCCATTTCTGCATTCCCAATGCTTCTGCTTTTATTTGGAAAGGAAGTTGCAACAGCAATGGTTCCAGTTGCTCTTGGTCTTTTTTCTCCTCTCCTCTCTCCTCCCCGAGTGTGTGCGATTCTGGGGTCTATTTTAATTAAGGTTAAACACCTGTATGAAAATCACTTGCCAGCCATGATAAAAGGGAAATTTGAATGAGGCCCTTTGGTTTCATGAAGATCTTTAAAGGGAAAAGAGAAATAAGGCTAGGGAGGGTGTAGGTAGGTTTTAGGATAAGTAAACTTAAAGTGTAAAATATATATCACCATCTTAGAAGCGGGTTTTTGGGTTTGCTTTCTCCCCCTGCTTTATTGGGGAGGACTTGCCATTGCTTTTATCAAGTGTTTGCTAGCCATGGATGCCAACTAATTTCTTCAATCGAAGGCCGGAGAATCATGTCTGGTTCCAGGAGCCGCTTTAGCAGGTCCTGGCATTCAGCCGAGATGCCCAGATGAGTAGGGAAGGACACCCCCTTCTGCTGCTGCCACAGCATCTTGGGGATGTCTGTGTCGTCAAAAGGTAGGCTGGCACAGAGCATGACATACAGGACCACGCCCATGCTCCAGACATCACCCTTCTTGCTATCGTGAGGAATACCCTGTAGCACCTCAGGGGCGGCATAGGCTGTGCTGCCGCAGAAGGTCTGGCTCAGCTCCCGGCGTGACTTAGGCAGCACCTTGGCAAAGCCAAAGTCAGTCAGCTTCAGGTTGAAGCCCTGCAACAAGGCGTTCTCACACTTGAGGTCCCGGTGGGCCACGCCACAGCCATGGCAGTAGCGAATGGCCTCGACCATCTGACGGAAGAGGGCCTTGGCCCGGTTCTCAGGCAGCGGCCCCTCGTTCAGCACACAGTCAAAGACGTCTCCTCCCTCAGCCAGCTCCATCACCAGGTAGATTTTCCCATCAGCAGACTCCAGCATCTCATACACCCGGATGATGTTTTTGTGGTCCAGGGTACGGACGATCTGGAGCTCCCGAGGCAGAAATCTCTGGATAAATTCTGAGGAAACAAGGATAGAGATGGGGTATCAAGTCCAGAAGGGCCTGACTCCTCATTCTTGTGTCCTGTTTTCCAACTTCTGTCTGCCTGCCTGCCCACCCTGGCAGGGTCTTGTTGCTTGGCTCTCATTAACGGTCTTAAATGTGTCTAGCGGCTTGCACTTTGTAAAGAATATTCATCTCTCTATTATTCTTGTAGTTAATATATTACTCAATGGAACAACTCCTTGCCTACCTCAGGGATTGTTAGGAGCAACCTGACATCACGGATGTCACAGTGCTTTGGGGACTTTTAGACAAAGGCACTGAATCTCAGTTACGGGGTCTGATTTGCCCCACTGGGTGGTGAGCCAGCTCCTCCCACGCTGCCTCCTGACCCACAGTTCTTTCCATGAGTCCTGTCTTCCTCTGCCTGCCTTGGCACCAGCTCCTGCCCTCTGCTAGCCCTGGCTGTGACCTCTGCCCAGCTCTCTTTCCCTCCTGGAATAGGAAAGGCGTGGTGAGCTTAGGTTCTGCCTCTGAAGAGCCTTCACCTCCTGCCACTTTAATTTTGGGCTTTGGAGGGTATGATGCACCTAGACGTATCATCTGCTCTCTATTGACCTACCCCAGAGCTGTATCTAGTCTGCTTTCCTTGGTTCTAGGCTAAAGGCCAGGAAGGAACAATCCTGGCTGCAGGAAGGACCCACCCACCTCAGCCAACCCCTCCCTTCCAACAAAGGGGCCCCAGCTCACCTTCTGGCCCTCCCATCTTGTCTATAATTTTAATTGCCACTTTTCTTTGGTGTTTTTTTGAAAATGCTTCTTTGACTTTTGAGTAGGTCCCTTCCCCAATGGTCTTGCCCAGCTGGTACCCATTGGAGAGCAGAAAGTCCTCCATGCTGTCTAGCGCCTCCTTCCTTCCTATCACCCTCTCAGCTCATGCTGCCTCCGAGAGGCAGCTCTACTCCACCATCGCCCTTGGCCCGCGCCTTTTCCCCCCAAGGACTTCATCCGCAGCGGCCCTCAGCGCTTAGAACATTCTCCGACTGGACACAGCCGCGGGTGGTGGGGAGGGAGAGGGACAGACATTTTTAAACTGCTGCCCAATTGTGATGTAAATGCTGTGTGACCGTTGGCCAAAATGAACAGTGCCCCTACCTGCCCTCACCACTGCCACCAAACCCAGCACCGGTTAAGTCATGGCCGCCCCCCTGCCAAGCAGTGAGTCGCGGCCCCGCATGGGGATGTCTGCGTGCGGTTAGGATTGCCCGGTTCCTCCGCGTGGACGCCACCTCGCTGCGGGTTGCTCTGGCCTCCCGCTCCTCCATCGGGCCAAGAGCCCTCCAGCTCCCAGGCTCCCGCTCGCGCCAAGTGCCGGGGCCGCCCGGGGCGGTGGGGGTTCCTTGGCGGAAGGAACGGGCTCTGTGAGGTCAGCGCGCCACGGTCCGGGTCACAATGCAGCCCTCCCCCTCGACGCCCGGGCCTGGACGCGCCGCAGACACCTGCCCGGCTCCGCCTGGACCGGAGCGTCCTCCCGCGGCCAGGGCTCGGGCAGCTGCTTCCAGCCTGGGACCGGTCTCGGCCTCCGGCAGGTGAGCGACGGCCCAGGGGGCGGGCGCGGGGAGGGGGCGCCCGGTGGCCCGGGAGCGGCCTGACCGCCACTCCCCGCGCAGAGCGCCGCGGTTCCTGGACATGAGCGCCCAGGAGCCCCCGCAAGGTCGGAGATTCCCCATTGAGGCAGGAGACTCCCCTGGCCTTGCTGCCGCCCCCGAGTCCCAGGACAGCCCGGAGCCGGTAGCGACTGAGCACAACCCGGTCAGGTGAGCCCAGCACCCGCTCTCCGCGGGCCCCTCCTTTGGCCCGGGCCCTCCCCACTGCCGGGTGGCGGACCCCCGCAGACTGCGGCGTGTGCCTGGAGCGCCCAGGGCCCCAACCTCGCCCAGGCGCTCAATGCCCCTCCCCCGTCCCTCTCTCCATTCCCGGGGCCCCGGGTGCGGTCCGTACATCCACACCCGAACCTGAGAAGATCCCAGGTGCACTTCCCCCGACTCAGCGCCCCGCCCTTCCCAGGCCACTTCGACGCTGCCCGGGTTGCCACTGCCTGACGCTGCTGCACGTGCCCATCGACGTCTACCTGGCCATGGGCGGGAGCCCCCGGGCCCGCGCCACCTGAGTGCGCCGAGCACAGCGGCTCCGCAGGAGCCGGGCGGGGATGAGGCCCGCCGCGGGCCACCACGCTGAGGTCGCGCGCGCCGAGCACGAGACAATGATGCACATTTTAAAATAAAAGAATGATGCACATTTTAATAAAGCACAGCATAAACTGTTCTTTCCACTTCGGGCTGGCCGTGTATGTCTATCCGTCGGATCCAGCCCGCCGGCTGCTCCGCCCCATCCAATAACACTTTCCTTTCCACCGCCTCTTCGCCAGGACGCGGCTCTGAGACGAGCCCTTGCAGGTCCGCCTTCCTCCGGCCCGACGCCCCGCCCCGTTCCCTCCCGATTTCTCGCAGCCTTTCCCCTCGGGCCCCGCCCTCATCCTCTCCCCATCCGGCTTCTTTGGTTCTTCAGTGAAATCCATATTACTGTGCTGGATGCAGGAGCCCTGGTGGCGCAGTGGTTAAGGGCTCGGCTGCTAACAAAAAGGTTGATGGTTCGAACCCGCCAGCCACTCCGCAGGAGAAGATGTGGCAATCTGCTTCTGTAAAGGGTACAGCCTTGGAAACCCTATGGGGGTTTACTCTGTCCTATGGGGTTGCTGTGAGTCAGAATGGACTCATGGCAATGGGTAGGTGCTGGACGCTGGGGACCCAGAGAAGCTTGGGACTGGAGGGGGATAGGGGGACACAGCCGACTCCTATTAACGAGAATGGCCATCCATACCAGGCCCATTTAATTTCCCCAAACTGGAATTAGGTTCTGCCACTTGCTGTTTTGTGACCCAGGGCATCTCTGGCTTTGTCTGCCCAAGTTCATCTTGAGCCTTGGTTTCTCTCAGGGTGGTGGGACCACAAAAAAAAAGATTAGGGAAGAAGTCTTTGAAAAACCAGTTTCTTAACTTCGTATTTGACAGGTGAGGGAACTGTGCCGGGTCCCCCAGATCATAGATGTTCTCACTGCCCTCAGAAAGATGAAATGCCCTAATCCATTCATTAAAAAAAAAAAAAAACAAAAAAAAAACCCATTACTGTCGAATGGACTCTGACATAGTGACCCTAAAGGACCAAGTAAAACTGCCCCATAGGGTTTCCAAGGCTATAAATCTTTCATATCTTTCTCCTGTGGAACATGGTGGGTTTGAATTGCCAACCTTTCAGTTAACAGCCCAGTCCTTAACCATTTTGCCACCAGGGCTCCTTTTTAATCCATCCATAGGAGGGCTCAGTACGCACAGCCTGTGTAGAAGTGGTAGCATTTAAACTGAATAAGCATTTCCCACTTTCCAATTTTGCTTTAATGAGCTTGGATCATTTTTATTACCTGTTGCTGTCGAGTCGATTCCAACTTTTATTTATTATTTTTATTGGTGAAGGACTGGCAGCATTTCCTTCTGTTATACATAAGGTCGCTATGAGTCAGAACTGATCCAACCACAACAACTAACAATTATTTTTATACTGGAAAAAACATATGTATGTGTCCCCTGAGATCTAAGCACAACTGACTAAACACTCCTCCCCTAATCCATGCGGGCAGAAGTCCAAGCCCTGCCTAGTGCACTTCAGAATCCCGAGGTCACCCAAAGGGATACGCTTCTAGATTTCCACATAAAATGCTCTCCCAGACAGTGGCAGTATAGGAGGCTTATTGAAAGGGAGGAGGGTGCTTGCCAAAAAAAGGGTCGATTTCAAAGTAAGGCTTTAAACTTGACCATTCAGCCTCTTGGTTCTTTAAATTTCCTGGCTTGAAAGCCCCTCCACGCCTGCCATTCCCCTTCACTGGGAAGGTCCTCGGCTTTAGGCCATAGTGCTGGCTCCTGTCTCCTCTTTCCCTTCACTCCTGTCATCCTCCACTCTTATCTTCAAACTCTCAGTTCTTCTCACTATTAAGTGAAGTGATCCAGCTCTTTCTATCCCCAACACCAAACACCACTGCTGGCCCTACTCAGCCTAATGCCACATGCTGCTCATCTCCAGAACAAAAGGGCCTCCTTCCCTGTAAACAGTCAGTGCTCAGCCTCCTTAGGATGCTGTTGTTATTTTTTTTTAATTGGCCACTGTGTTGATAAAATCTCTCCACTGCAAGCAACAAAAGCTAGGTTAAGCAAAAAATAGGAATACATCGGTGCAAATGTCTGGGAAGTATATTGATATGGGCATTAATCACAGGATTAAAAGAAGAACTATAGGAACCAGGAACCAGAACACCAAGGACTCAGCTTCACCAGGATTATCCCTTTGCTCCTCTCTCGTCCCTTGATTTTCTGTTCTGGGCAGGGAACATGACTGAGGCAGCTTAGAAACCCCAGGAAGGGAGAGTTGCTTTCTCCCAGTCTCAGTATACCTATTCCTGGGAAGGACAGTGATTGGCCCTTCTTAATCACATGCACACCCCTTGGCCCAATCGGAGATGGGAAACTATAACTAACCAGGCTGGCCCACAGGCAGGCTACCATTGAGGTAGAAGCACTGCCAGGTGATTGACAGCATCACCAGAAAATAGTGAGTAGAGATGGAGAAGAAACATTCCAAAAGGTAGGCCAGGGGCCAGGGTAATGACTCTGTACCATGGCATGAGGAGCCTTTGACAGTCTGAGCAGGAATCAAGCCACAGTGTTCTAGTTCAGGCTTTGTCCCTGATCTGTCAACACTGGTCTATTAGTCAGGTCTGCACAGGGCGATTCAGCAGTGAACTTGACAGGTGAACTTGACAGACACCAGCGTTGCCCTCATGGAACTCACATCTCCCTGGTGGGAGGCCTCAGGCAAGTCCCTTCACTCTGGGCCCATTTCCTCAGTGGTTTAAAAAAGAAAAAAAAGAAAAAAAAAAAAGACACCAGGTCTCTATGGACCTAGCCAGCTCCAAAATGTTGAATCCTTCCCATTCTTCTTTCCTCTCTTCTCAACCGTACTTTTCTTTAAAAAACATTTATTGCCACCTCCCACAGGTTTGGTGTGTGAGGGATGCAAAGACTCCAGACACAGACCTTGTGAGTGGGCCAGACTCTGGGGCTAGTTAGCTCTAGAATGTCCATGGGCAAAGGGAAAGAGCATTCCAGGTGGAGGGAACATTGTGTGCAAAGGCCCTGAGGCAGGAAAGTAGAGGGCTAGTTCAAGGAATTCAATTCAATCAACTTTCACCAACACTTACCTGGGCCAGGCCAAGTGCTGGGAACCCAGGCCTGAATTTGACATCCCTTGCCCTTGCAGAGCTCAGAATCAGGGGATCCAGGATAGGTTAACAGAAGAGAAGCTGGATCAGGGTGGCCTTCGAGTACCAGGTTAAGGAGTTTGAACATTGTTCTGTAGGCAACAGGAAGTATGACAGGCTCCAACCTGGGTTGTTTCACTCTCCTCTCCTCTCCTCCACTTCCATCCTGTTCTCTGTTTCTTCTTTCTCTTTCCCCCTAGAAAAGTCACTGGCCTAAGCTCTAGTCCTGAGTTCAAGTCCTGACTCTGCCATTTACTAGCAGTGCAACCTTGGACTAGTTACTTAGCCTCTCCGAGCCTCCATTTCCACATCTGTAAAATGGGGTTAGTGACACCTGCCAGAGGGTTTCAGTAAGGTCACACCTGTACAGCACCAGGCAGGAACCTCTTGCAGGCAGCACCTGATGAGCAAGAGCAGCTGTTGCTGCTGTTGCTGCTGGTCCTACCTGTGACTTCAGGGGGCAGCAGAGAACCAGACAACCAAGGACACTGTCCCCATGGGGCCTGGTGATGACCAGTCCTGGAGGGAGCTGGGGAAACCCCTCTTGCCTCCCTCTGTCAACTTCCAGGCAGTTCCTCTCAGGAGCCAAGGAACTTGAAGGTGCAGGGGGGGTGGGGGGGTGGGAGGGGGAGGCACCATTTCAAGAAAATCCCCAGGTGGGAAAGGCAGAGCTGCCTTCTTTGCCCTGGAGGGTAAAGCTGTCCCCTAGACCCCAAAGCAGGACCCCCAGATTCCAGCCTTCTTCTCTGCGCCTGAAGAATGAGAGGGGTCAAGGGAAAGGGGGATAATCAAATCATTGCCTTCCCCAACTTCTGTCTCAGATGCCTTATTACCCAACCCCTCCCCTAAGGGACTCCCTTTTAGAAGGAGGGGGCAAAGTACAGATGGACCCCCAGGTTACTATGGAGATGGCAGGAAAAGGGTTGCTACATCACCATGGCAACAACCGACGTCAGTGCTACCCTTTGCTATTGCTTGATATGGGGGGGGGGCAGCCACCCCATCCACAAGCATATCCCCCACAAAGCCTCTTCCCCTTAATGAGCCAATCAACCAGGGGGTCGACAGGCTTAATATAGCACAAGAGTGAAAAGCACAGACTCTGATGTCAGTCACTGTGGTTCAAATCCTGGCTCCGCCTTGTCCTAGCTGTGTGAATTTCAGCAAGTTCCTTAACCCCTTGAAGTCTTATCCGTACAATGGGGACAAATAAACTTCATGCCTCCAAGGGTTGCTGTGAGGATTACATGAGATAATGCAGGTAACAGGTTGAGGGGCCTGCTCACGCAAATGCACAATTGATGTTGGGACTGTCGAGAATCCTGCTCACCACCTTGGGACTTGTCGGGGAAGCGTGGTCCTTCAAATATAGAACCAGAGCCTCTAGATGGCCCCCCAGGACTCCAAGAACTGGCCCCCAGGGTTTGAGCATCTCAGGATTTGGAGGTCTCAGGGTAGAGCCAATGGAATTTTTCCAGGCTCTGAGGAAACACTAGATGCCACTTCCCTGAAACCCCATCACATCCGGACTCTGACCCAGCTTCCCCTTTCTCCTCTTCTCTGCCTCCTCCTAGGCTTTCTGAGCAGGCTTCTACCTCTTGAGCCTCTATTTGCTCTCTAGGAAAAAGGGTGGATGAAGGACCATGGGAAGACATCAGACAACTGACTCCAGTAGGACAGTAGATTGGACACCAAAGGGATATGGGTGCCCAGGTCCCAGCTGCCTTCTCCTCACTCATCCTTGGGGTAGGGTACCACAGTCATTCTCATTTCCTCCCTCTTCTCCAATCCCTAAACCAGGCGGCCACAGTCCCTTCTGCCCCAATTCCACTGCCACCACTCTGAGCCCGAGCCCTATCACTACTCATCTGGATTACTCCAGCAGCCCCTAACTGGTCCCCCTGCTTCCTTCCTCTGTTGGTTCCTCCAATCCAGAATTATTTTATAAAGGCCTCAAACCCAGCC